ATTTTGCTGCTAGTCCTTGGCTGTTTGGTGATCAAAATGTAATTGTTTCCTAATTCTTAAGAAACAGAATCTCTACTGGACTCAGTTCTTTTCTCGGTGTGTGTTTTTTTTGTTTGTTTTGCTTTGTTTGTTTTTACAATTTTATTGTTCTGTGGTTATTAAAAATAACATGCCCTATAAATTCAACCTAGAGACTTGGGTGCTTATCAAAGAAAGGATATCATCAGAGGCTCCAACTATGGGAAGTATTTATGTGCATTGGTATATAGATCTGTCGTGGAAGGACTTAATATCTGTGTAACGATTTTTTTTTTGCCTTAATGCCCCTATAGCTGTCCTTTGGCGTAGAATAAAAAACGGACTGACTGCCACCCATTGCTAAGAGAGTCCTGGGTCCTCAGCTTTCATTGGTTAGTCATTAGGCTTTGTGGGCGACCCTGCAGGGCCCCTCTTGCTGGAAACCCTCCGAGCTTCCTGATTTCCAATCCTGTAAAAACCTCCTCCCCCATCACTACCTTTGTCTCTTTGTGGGGTGGGGAGTGGGGAAAAACCTTTTTCACTTGAGCAAAATAAAAACTACCCAGTATTTGTTTCTGGAGTGTAATTATAAACTTCATTGTACATTCTTCCTGGCTTTGATGCTTATCTTGAAGAGTTCAGTGAAAATAAATTGTTTTTATGAAAGCAGAGAAACCATTTGATAAACACGCTGTCTCTGAAAATTGTTCCTGCAAAAGAGGTCATTCTTTCACTTTAAAAGAAATAGAATATATTTCAGAAAACAGGCAAGGCAACAGTTTAGGATTTCTGTGAACACAGGATATATTTTTTTAAAACAGGGTGTAAACACATTGAAAATTGCACACCTCCTGATTGTATGGAATGTATTGGTTTTTAAAACAGCTTTATTGAAGAGCTACTTAGGTCACAAGCAAATACTGGCTATATTTCATATTTCTGGGAATGAATTCTCAACTCAGTACTTTTTTTTTGCTACTAAGGTTTTGGGGGTTACTGTTTCATAATTACTATATATCTGTTGGAACCTATGGGTGTATGTATTCTTAGTAAAAGTCAAACTTAGCTGGGAAAATGATTCATTTTCTAGAGCTCTTCTTGTGCCTGGTAGCACAGAGACCCATGTGGCCAAAATTGGTTGTAGTAATATGAGACACAACCTCATGTACATAACAATATACATTTATTATTTTTTCCCACTGTCTCATGTGTTTGTACATCTTGACCTAAGTAAAACTATAAAAATAGTTCACATTTCCATACCAGAAAAGTTCGGATTTACTGAAAACTGAAACTAACCATGACAGTGCTTGGGATTTTTTTTCACACTGTAATTCCTAGGTGAAACTCTTTCCTGGTGATTAGTTTTTGAGCCTGAGCTAGAGATGGGTAATGAGGGCCCCGAGGTCAGAATGCTTCTTCTATGCCATGTGTACATTCACTATTGTGAGAGACTTTGTTGGTCTTGACTTGATTTTATCTGCATGTGATTTAGACTATGAAAGTGAAGTGTTGATTCTTGACAGGAAACTCTCTTAAATTTCACGGAGATGAGTTATACAGACACTAAGAATCCACGCTAGATAGAAATGCTATGCTTTATGACGTGAAGACAAATTCAGATATAAAGCCAAGTATAAGACGTTTGACCAACATAATACTTTAGCTGTTACTATGGGAATAGAAAAGAAACTTCAGTAGCTCTGGCCTTGTTAATTTCCATTTGGAGCCGCTGTTAATTTGGCTACATTACATATTGCAAACAAGGATCATAATGTTTGGATAGAACTTTTTATGCCCCAAACTCAAGAAAATTAAACTGTATATAATGTTTAGTACAATCCTCATGTGAGGAAGCCCAATACAGGTTAAATTACCATTCACAGATACCTAAAAGTGGGGAGGGGGGTCTCATTAAGATCTTTGGTTATAAAACTCAGCAGGCTTAATGCATACTCATGGGACTCTCTTGCTTAATTTGGAGCCAGATAAGGCAGAGAAATAAAGTTTTTGAGTTCTGTCAAGATATAAAAATGGTGTTTCTATTATGTAAAGTTTGTGTATTTTACCCCCATTTTTAAAAGATTCTTGGATGACACCACCTATCCAATTACAAACATCAAGCTAATAAGACTGACGTTTTGGACCCAAATCATATTAAAAACCTTATAGGAATTTTCTTATGCCCCAAAGTTGTATTTTGGCTTCATAACTGATTCTTGTGCTGCCTTCTTCTAAATCAATGACTGTTAGCACTGTGCAGCATAAATTCAAAGCATGTTTAAGATATGCTCTTGGAGAAGTTTCTTCAAATTCAAGGCTAATGTAGTACAAAGAAAGCCTTTGTCTGTGGCATAAAACGCTGACAGCCTGAAAAAGGTGACACCCTTACAATGACAAATACCATGACAGTTACAATTGCATTAAATTTTTAAAAGCATCATTCTAAAATTTTTAACCAATGGGCTTCAGATCCACTGGAACCCTTAAAACTGGGGCAGCATTCTGAATACAGTGCATCATAAGAGCAGCACTGAATGCAACAACATATAATTCTAGTCTTAATGTGGATGAAGGCTCGAAAACTGCAGGGTACAAAAGACCCCAAGTTTGTTCTTCTCCAAATCAGAACTGCTGGGTTTACTCTCTCCAAATCTTACCTCAACCAGGTTCCCTGGGAAGGATATTCCACTATGAATACATCTGTCTCTCTTCCCTCCCTCTCTTTCCTTTTCTCCCCCAACTCCTTCTTTCCCTTCTTCCTTCTCACTTTCCTTTCTTAAATGCATATTTACTTATTGCAAACCACCCAAGTACCAAGGGTGGTCCCAGGTTCTTGGGAAACAGCAGTGATCCTGCCTGGGCTCTTGAGCGGCGGTTTCGTCCCCTCCCTGGAACTTTCTTTTACTATGGATAAACTACTATGGATGCAAATTTGCATATCAGATGGCTTCTCCCCATAGCAGCAGCAGGTATGTCATCAAGGGATCTCCAGGTAACTAGATGCGAATATATGTGTGTATGTAACGTGTGCAGGAGTGTGACTGGTCCACTTCTTCTTTGAGGGCTTTCACACGTATCATTTTGGGCTCCTCCTTCTCATTCACAAGTGCCCAAACAGTGCCCAGCACAGGGGAAGTCACCCAAAAGTAGCTGCTGGGTGCACAGATTATGGACAGTGGCCAAAGTCAGGGGGTGGCATACAGCCTTCCCACATGACTATTTCTGGTCTAGGGATTTTTTTTTTTCTATTCAAAGTGTCTCAACATATGTATCTTCAGACTCATCAGACAGTTTCTTTTTTCCTCTCTTCTTAATCAAGATCTACACTCAGAACTTTCGCTTACATTACTTGTAAATCATCATCATCTTAAAATATCTACTGACGAAATATTGTTTCCTTCCCCAAAACATCTGCATTGTAACAGGGAGGGGGGTATTAAGAGCAAGCCTTTCTCACAACAATGGCCTGGAGGTGGTACCCTAGCGCCTGGCATTCCTGCCTCCTGGGAGGCTCCTTGGGAGAAGGTTGTCCTGAGTTTCTAGTCTCTACAACGCTATGCTCAATGCCACGCATGCGCTCACATGCAATTCCCAGTCTTGCAGCTAGTGGAGTTTCCAGTGCGAATATTTGTATTCCTGATCCTCGAAGTCTGATTACAGCTTCAGGTTTTGTCTCTCTGTAACTTTGATTATACTTTGCTTCATCCTCTGTAATCAAGCTCAGATTGCTTCGGATGTGTGACAGAACGAGCAGAAGGTGAGGGCTGTGAGTGCGCGAAGAAAAACTCCCCTTCCCAGCCTTTGGGGGCTTCTTTAACAACTATCTGGAAGGGAAAAAAAAAAAAAAGATTTCTTTTTTGGTACCTCAGCTCAGCAGCCTGCTCCTATCCTGTGGCCAGATGCTGCCCTCTCCGCCATTGTTAAATACTAATAGTGAAACTTAAAAGATGTACTCTTGCGAGACAACAGGTGGCCACTGCCACCTCGGGCTCTGATTGGTGGAAAAGGCCACAGGCGCCCAGGGGCCCGGAGAAAGGGCCTCCACTTCTGCGTTTCAAGAACCTGCTCAATGGGGTGTTGTCCTGATAATATCTCAGCTCACTGCCAATTTGTGCAACCCGCTGGGCCATTAGGGAGCGCCGCTGGGTTGTCAACGTTAAATGGAGACTCGGGAGAGGAGACCAAAGCTTTTTCAGGAGGGAGGATTGGAGTCAACCCAGAGACAACGTAAGCAGTTGTTCCTTTCCTGAATACACACCGCTCTCTCACGCAGTCTCCAAACACCTGACTCTGCTAAAAGAAGGGCAGATACACAAACTTTCGCCTAATTGAAATTTATTTTTTCCTGCTTGGTTTCAGAAAGATAACATTGGGCAAAGGTACAGACATGAGGTGTCACCAAGCCAGGGAGAATAAACGAAACGGAGAGAAAGTCCTGTGATGCTTGTCCGAAAAACTTCAGGCTGTGGGCCAGCGAAGTGTGATCAGGGATGAAAGTGTGAGTGAGCGTCAGCTAAAATATTCGTAAATTTCTCCCTTCTGGTTAGTTTCTAGATAACCAAATTGGGGAGGGGGTCAAATCTCACAGCCTCTCCCTAACGTTCTCGGCTGGTATAAAATCCTTTCCCTTCTGCCAAGGCTGAGGGCCAAACTCTCAAATGAACCCGAAGCAAAGTGGAGGGTAGGGACGTGGTGGGGGGTGGGGGTGGGGGGTAAGATGCAGCTTAAAGAAAGAGAAAGAAATGAAGAGGGGCTGGGAGAGTGCAGTGTGAGGAAGTTAATCACCCAGAACCTTTTAGGAAAATAGGGACATTTTCTCTCCGAGAGCAGTGAGTGATCCGCCTAGATCCAGTTACTCAAATGCCTTTCGAATACAAACAAGAGCAAAGAAAACACGAAGAGAAGCGACACGAGCCTGAACCCCGGAGCTTCAGGTCTGCCTACCTGTGAAAGGTCAGGCCCCCACCCCCTCCCCACAGGTGTACCCTGGCTCCCGGCTCGCGGGAGGCAATCGTGCAGGTGACCTGCTGGGTTAGGTACCTCCGAGAGGAAGGGGGCACTCGCAGGGGAAGGTGCAGGGCCGTAGAGGGACCGGGGGACCCACGAGAAAGGAATGGGGGCGAGGAGTGGAAACGAGGGAAAGAGCGGTGGTGGGAAGGGAGTGGACGGCGCGTGGCTGCTGCTGACTGCAGCCGGGGGGCCCCGGGCAGCGGTGGTGGGAAAGGGGGCTGGAGGGTCACGCCGGGCACGGGGCTGGCCGAAGTGTCCGAGGGAAGGAGGGGAGCGAGGAGCGCTCCGAGGCAGCGGGGACAAAGAGGACCGGAGAGGGAAGGGGGGCGCGGTGGGAAGAAGAGGGGCCCGGGAGAGGGGGAGGCCGCCGGGCGGGCGACGGGGCGGGTGAGCGCTGCGCGAGGCGCGGGGTGAGCGGCAAGGGGCCGCGCGGGGCAGGGGCCGGCGGGGCGGGGTCCGCGCGCCCGGAGGCGGTCCGGGCCGAGAGCGCACCGGCGGGGCGGGCGGCGCGCCAGCTGCCCGCGGTGGGAGGGGCGGAGCGGCGGCCGCGCGGGGAGGGGACCGGCAGCGGAGGGAGGCAGGAGGGGGAGAAGGAGGGGAGGGGCCGGGCCCCTTGTCTCCGCGGCTCGTCTCCTCAGTCCGCCCGGGGAGGAGGAGGAGGAGCGCGGCCAGCCGCCGCCGCCGCCGCCGCCGCCGCCGTCCCAGCCTCGCCCCGCGCACCTGAACTCGCCGCGCCGTCCCGGGCCCCCGCGCTGCGCCCCGCGCCCCGGGCGCCCGGCCCGCGCGCAGCGCTGCCTCGGTGCCCCGGCGGGGCGCGTCCCCCGGGCCGCCTCCCGCTCTCCCGCGGTTCGCGTGGCCGCGCCTTTGTGTGCGGCGGCCGCGGCTCCCGGGCTCCTTCGGCTCCAGGTCGCTGCGCCCCTCCGGCCCCGCGTCCCGCGCGCCGCCCCCGGGACAACCCCGGCCCGGCGCCCCCCGACGGTGGATCTAGCGGCTTCGAGGAGGCGGGCACCGGCCCCGGCGAGCCCCAGTCTCGGCCCCGCGGCCCCGGGCCCGGCTGAGGCATGGATGTGAGGTTCTACCCCGCGGCGGCCGGGGACCCCGCCGGCCTGGACTTCGCGCAGTGCCTGGGGTACTACGGCTACAGCAAGGTGACCGGGCCGGGCGGGGGCCGGGGCGGCGGGGACGGGGCCAGCTCCATCCCGGGCGCGCCCAGCTCTGCCTGCTGCACTTTTCTATCCCCTCTCCACTCCCTTCCCATTGCGCCTTCGTCTCTGTCCAACTCTCTCGCTCTACTCTTTCTGCCCCTTCCCACCCCCCTTTTTGTCCCTCAGCCTGCGCTCCCCTCTCCCCTCCGCCTCTCCTCCCACTGTCTCTCTCCCCCACCCCCCACTCCGCCGACTCTCTTTGGCTGCCCCCAAAGAAGCGAGGAGCAGCCCAAGAACTGCTAGGGGGGACTCGCTTTGTTGTTGTTATTAGTAAACCCGATCGCAGGCTCCCTGAGTTTGGGGTGGAGGGGGGCAACGCAGGAGTCCCCGATCTCGTGGTCTGATGACCTCGACGCCCCCCTCCCAGTCCTTCTCACCTCCCCCACGCCCCCGAGAGCTGGACTCCGGGCCGCTTAGCGAAGGAAAGGAACTAACTTTTGAGCGTGCCCTAGATGGGGGGAGAAGGGGGCCGGGAAGTGTTGGGACCCCCGCAGGTGGCCTTTGCTGCCCTCTCGCTGGGTCACTTCGGACCACGCAACGGAGGGGCCGCTCTTGCCGGGTTAGCGCCAGTGGCTTCTCATCTTTCGTTTTCTGGGGAGGGGTCAATTTGGCATTTCGGGGAGATCAGGGTTGGAGACCTCCACACTACGCCCTGGATCACCCCACCTCCTCCACCTCCCCCTGCGCCAACTTTGAGGACCGAGCATTTCAGGTGGCCGAAGGTGGATCTCTCGGAAGGGCGGCTGGTGCCGCGCGCAGCGGCGAGTCCGTGCGAGAGCCGGAGTCCTTGGGCCAGGGCAGCGCGGACTCGCGTTCTCCGTCCTTCCTGAAGCCCCCAAGGCCAAGCTTTGGAGGAAACATCACCCCGAGGGCTATATTCAGAGAAAGAGCTGTGCCTTTTGAATGTGGTTTTTCTTTCTCCTTCCCCACCCCTTCTCCTCCCTCCCCCTCCCCTTTTTTCTTTCAAATCGCAGTTTGTTTATGATCGCTTGGATAACAGAGGAGGAAATAAAGAGCCTGCAGAAAGAAAGGTGCTATACAAAACTAATGAGTACATAGCAGGAAGAAGGGGAATTGTATCTAGAGGGAGGGACGGTTTGCAGTGCCCCGTGGCTGATGGAGGCTTCTGTTCTTTTCTATTTGTTTATACTCCCAACCGATCGCAACTCCAGTGCTGAAGTTTGTGAAAGACCATCGAGGTTTCTCTCCCTCACCCTTGTCCCTGTGGCATCGTCGTCCAGCTCTGCTCCTGGCACTGAGGGGCCTCCCAGCAAGTATAGAAGGAAGGGACATTATTCAGTGTTTTTTACCCTTTGGTGTTGGGAGGGCGAGGAGAAGGGCATTCATGCTCTCCAAATTCCTGAGCTTTGAAAGAGAAGCAACTAAAAAGCCCACCGAGGTAGCCAGAGTTGCCGTTTAGTTTCTGTCCTCTGATTTTGGATTTACTCAGGTTATTAAATGCTTTAAAAAGTCCCCCATGTATGCTCAGTTAGGGACTCAGGCAGCCTAATTAAGTATGTAGTGTATCTGAGAATCCACCTAATTGTTCCAGTGGGGTATTATTTGTCTCCTTACAACTTAGCCTTGTGTATGCAAGCCTTGTCTAACTGGGCAGGCTCTTATTTTTGGAAGCCATTACCTTTCCTAATGTAACTACTTCTTTCTCTGATTTAAGATCAGCAACCCTCCAATGACACCAAAATAGAAACCTTTTGTACTAATCCAGTCACTGCAATGCGTGGCAAATCTCTGTTCACTAGGATCCCAAGGGTACTTCAAGGGACCAGAGGAAATTGTGGGTGTTTTGTGTGTGTCTCTTTTTATTTTTTGAGAAAGGCTATTTGGAGTCAATTTAAACTCAGAACATTATTTATTTCAGGGAGGGTCTAGAAAGCTTAAAAACAGACAATATTTATTGAAATGCTAGTTCAACTTCAGGAGTAGGGACGCAAGGTGGATTGCTGTCATATTTTCTTAATGCAGCTATTTGCCTGAAATAACTCGGTTTCATAGTAATTTTGCGATCTGTCATCTTAAGTGCACTGTGTACCCAACTTATGAAAGTTAGCGCTTAATATTGGTACAAATCAGATTGTACTTATTTTAAGGGATGTTTGCATTTCATTCTTTGCAGATAAAAATACAAAAATCTTTAAATTGAGCCATGATACTATATTTTCCTACTCTTCATTTCATAAGTGAACAACTCAACTCTATTCCCTGTAATTTTTCTTTATGGAGAGAATGAAGTAGATGAGGAAGTATTAACTTCATGGGTATAAAACAGCAAGTGCTAATTAAAGGTTTATAGCACTTTGTTTCATAGCTAACTTGTGTGTCTGAAGTGGCGTTATTCAGTACAGATTTATATTGAAAATGTAAAAACTAGCAGACAAAGACATGCATTTATTTTATTTGAAAACACCTGTAATTATTAATCTCCAAAGACTTTAACTGTTAATCATATATATTATCTTTCTGGATGGGAAACTGTGGCTTTCTAAGAAAGTCTGTTTCTGCCCTTTCTTGTTTTAACGACCATCTGGGAAACTTTAGAAGAAATACAGAGCCCTCTGCTCCAGGCTTAACAAGTGCAAAGTTAGCGCTTATCTTTAAATTTATTTACAAACCGTGAATAATAGGGTTTCATTCATTTCTATCTTTAACAAATGACCAGAGTCCTTTGTATAAATTATATCATGTGCATTATCTTTACATTCTGTGAGTATATGGATCCTTTTTAAATGTCAGCGATCATGAAAGTGTGTAACTTTGTCTATGGAGAATGGATGAAAGAGTTTTGAGGGTTCAAAAGTCATCGCAAGTAGGAGAATATCTTCAAATAAAATATAGCCAGGATCATTAAAATCAGTTAATAATTCATGAACCAGCCACTGATGTATAAACTTAAAGCCATCTCTATTTCCTCAGGGCTAATTTCCATTTTAATTTCAAGTCGAAAATCTACTGTTTGAGCATTTCTTTTTCTGATGCAGCTAACGAATTAAACTAACACCTATATATATGTTTTTGAAAAAGGCCTTATCTTACCCAAGTGAGTTAATGACCCATTGTCTATATACCTGGATTTTTTCTTTCCCCGGGTTCAATTTGTCTTCACCAGTAAGAAGATAATATGCAACATATCCATCAGCATGTAGTGCTCAGAAGTCTGTTCCCCCTAAATAAACTATTTTATTTTACGTGGGTGTAAGCAAGATAAAATCACACTGTGGGTTAATAATGAACTTGGACTCAACTCTAGTTACTTTTCTGCATGTTCTTAGGGCTTCCTCACCCCCTTTCAAAATACCACTATTGACTTCTTACCCTATATAGAATGGTCCTAACTGTTGTAACTCTATCAGTCCCAAACATTCCTTTCTAATTACTCTATGTGTTATTGATCGCTCTGCTTAATTAAGACGCTCTGATGTGAACTCTTTTCCTCCACCTCATGGGCCTCTACCTTAACTAGCTTGAAGAGTAGGAGGACCTGAAGGGTGATTTGTCATTGGTCTATATCAGTGGAGACCATGGTTTAAATTGGGAACATATTGAGCGGGGAGGGGCGTGTGACTGAAACTCTCTTTAAGTTAATATCTTGCACGAGCATAAGAACTCATAATTTCATTTATAGGTTCTAGAGTATGGGAGTATTGAACTTTGAGAGCAGATTGAGAGATTTTTTCATGTCAGGTATTTAAATAAGATGTGGAAACCACATTGTGAAAGAAATAAAATGTTTCTAAGGACCTTAAAGCAGGGGTCATAAACTCAAAATGTCTATAGGGACATCTGGTTAACCTTCATGAAGCCAGGTGTTGTGGTTAAGTGGAGAACATGCGCCATTGAAAGGGGGTGCCTTGCTCAGCATTATTAGATTTTTGTCATGCCAACATTTGACCCAGTATCTCCATATTCTGCATTTCATTTTTTTTTTCAAGATGATAATCTGGGTTTTTATGGGAAATAGCCTGAATTTTAAATATTGCAAATTAACAATTGAAATCATTATGTAGTACTCTCAACATATGCTCAGCCTTTGTCTTGACAAACTCATAGGCAGATGAGAATTCAAAAAATCATTTTTTTAATAAGTCATTTCTAGTTTATGTTCAACTGTGTGGGCAGTTCTACTGCAGTGTTCACCTGCGTGGATTGTTCATTTGAGTGAGTGAAACTACACTTTCAGTGTAGTTCTAATCT